TTCCCTCGCTTTTCCCATCTTTTTCCCGCCTTTTTCCCTGTCTATTTTCCCTCGCTTTTCCCATCTTTTTCCCGCCTTTTTCCCTGTCTATTTTCTTGCCTATTTCCCAAACTTGTCAGACACTTCTCCTTCAGTATCAATCAAATCCTTGTAACAGAAATAAAGAAGTGTATACCTCTCAATTCTCCATAGCAACTGGCTTCATCTTGCCTCTTGGAGCTATGTAAGTCAGCCAGTGGAGAGGACGGCTGTACCGTGGCTGAACCAGAAGAGTTAGAGGTTCTTCTAAAGGGACTGGAGTCTTCTGCTTCTGTACTGCGATTCTCGGTCCTCAAAGGACTTCTCAACATGAGCATGATCTTGCCTGGGATTGAAGAAGAAACAAGTCTTTCAGTCAATGTTTTACGAAGACTTTCGGTGGCAAAGTTTGATCCAGACGAAGAAAATGCTTCTCTTGGACAAAAGTAATATATCAATAGTTTGTCTTACTTTGGCAGGGGTGGTAAAAGGGGTGGTAAATGGGGTGACTAGTCACCCCCCCACGGGCTCAAATTTCTTATTATAATTATCGTTAGTAACAGTCACCTCCTTTTCCTCAAATTCCCGGTAAAGCCTTTGTAATCCCCTTTTAAAAATTCCTGGATCCGCCCCTGTGTAGCCATTTTATTTTTCTATTTTAGACCACGTGTTATAATCTTTAGTATTATTGCTTTGTTTTTAGGGTATAGTTTGTTTGATTTCCATAATAACTAACTTTTCAAGCTCGGCCAGGAAAAAAAATACTCAAAGGAATGGCATTTAAAACAACCAAATCCATGCCGTCCAATCAGAGGATTGAAACTATTTTCCTTGTCACACCACTTGCACTTACTTTCGACCAATCAAAATCAATCAAAAYCATGCCTTCCAATCAGAATGCTGTAAACTCTTCTTGTTGTTTCAGGTTATGGGAAGAGTCTCATTACTCTGTAATTGAGTCGTTATGTAGTGATTTGCTGCAGGATATTGTACATGATGTAGGTGTGATACGACAAGCTGCCAGCTCAGCTCTAACAGAAGCTGTATCTCAACATCCTTCAGTTGCAACCTCTGTACTTCATGAACTGATTGAACTTTATGATGAAAAAATTAAGGTGAGATGTGACTTAATGCTTGGGCTACCTGTGGTAATTATGAGCTCTCATAGAATGTAGGTCAGGGTGATCAGCGAAAGTCGCAACATTAATGTTTTACCCTCCCTGACTGACTGATCGATCGACCATTCGACTGACTGATTGACTAACAGACTAATGGTTGACTGACTGACTGACTGACTGACTGACCAACTGACTGACCGACCGACCGATCGACTGTACGACCGACTGACCATTCGACTGACTGACCGACTAATTTAGTTAAGGTCAAGGAGCAGATTAATTTATTTATTATGTGTTTTCTTGAATACAGATTCCTGCTCCTATCGTAAATGAGCTTGGTCGAGTAATTTCTGACCCATTCATTGATCCATCGGCAGCAAGAGCAGGAATCGCCCAAGCACTTGGTAAACTATCGCCCTGCCTGGACGAGGACCAGGTTTGTGGAACTATTGCAATAGACATTAGTAGGAGGATATGCTGATTATAATGACGACAATGATGATGATGACGATGATGATGATGATTATAATGACGACAATGATGATGATGACGATGATGATGATGACGATGATGATGATGATGACGATGATGATGATGATTATAATGACGACAATGATGATGATGACGATGATGATGATGACTATAATGACGACAATGATGATGATGGTGATGATTGTGATGATCATGATGGTAATGTTTAATAATGATGATGATGATGATGATAATGATAATGAAAAAGATGATCATAATGATGGTGATGATAATAACGTGCACTTTCGTTATTTTTCCCACTTGTCGACTTTTCTTCTATTCCAGATTCCTCCTCTCTTTGCATTCTTCGTTCCTACTGGTCTCGGTGATCGAAACAAAGAGGTCCGTAAAGAAATGCTCAACGCTGCACTCCAAGCAGTCAACGACCATGGCAAGGTAAAGGGACTTTCTACTCAGTCAATAGAACCAATCACCAGTATGAGTGTTAGAGATACGTCTTCTAACGCCCTGTTACACGCAATGTTTGCTCATGCAATGTGTTTTGCGAAAAGGCTCTTGCACATTTCACAAGCTTTTTYGTGTGTGCAACATACCCTCGTGCAGAAGTCCAACAATCTTTAATTTTTTACAACTCGCGACAATTTGTCGCGCAGGACAGTTGAAATGGAACATAGCCTCGTACACCCTGGGTTTTTTTTTTACAAGAAAAAAGTGAAACAAGAAAATTTTACAACGTCTTGAGTTTTATCGTTATCAGCAAAATGCAAGATGGATGGGATGTTTAGGACTTAGGGAGGAGGCTGGGTGTGGTGAGGGGTGGGATGTTGGGAACAAAGTTACGATTGAAGAACTTATGACCAATTTTAAAGAACGGGGTGCCAAATTCTATAGTTTGCCTTGTAATAACAATTCTCGTCTGTTGTACTTTTAGGATAACATCTCCAACTTGTTGCCAGTCTTTGAAGAATTCCTAGACATTGCTGACGACACTAGTGAGCATGACATGATACGACAATCTGTTATCATCCTGATGGGATCCTTAGCCAAACATCTTGATAAAGAAGATCCTAAGGTGAGTAGAAGAGAGTAGAACACCACACCCATGTAGTATAAGTAGGTTAGTTGAACCATGACTAGTGTACATGACAATCTGTTATCATCCTGATGGGATCCTTAGCCAAACATCTGGATAAAGAAGATCCTAAGGTGAGTAGAAGAGAGTAGAACACCACAACCATGTAGTATAAGTAGGATAGGTGAACCATGACTAGAGTACATGACAATCTGTTATCATCCTGATGGGATCCTTAGCCAAACATCTAGATAAAGATGATCCTAAGGTGAGTAGAAGAGAGTAGAACACCACACCCATGTAGTATCAGTAGGATAGATGAACCATACTAGTGTAGAGACCTTTCAGTGATCACGACATTATTCTGCCTCATATTTTTTCTGTTATTTTCCCAGGTCAAACCAATTGTTAACAAGCTGATCAAGGCTCTCTCCACGCCGTCACAACAGGTTAGTACATCCAGGGTTGGCATGGTTCTAAACAATGGGAATCATGGGGGGTGCAGCGATAGTCACTCGCCACTCATCTCTGGGGTCTCTAATTCATGGACTCAGCCTCACATGTGAGTAGATCTAGAGTTTTTTAAGTCTCTCCTTTGATATGAGGGTTTTTCTCCAGGTTCTCCAGTGGTTTTCTTATCTCCGCAAAAACTATCAAGTCCCTCTGATTTGTGAGTTAGACATCCCCTGACTTTGGTCAGTCCAGAGGTTGTTTCAGGGTTCAATCAGCTGTGATCAACCCAGGTTTCAATGGTTTGGTAGCATTAATAACCTAGATATTGTCTGCTGTAGGTTCAACAAGCTGTTGCTAACTGTCTACCACCTTTGGTCCCTGCTATCAAAGCTGAGGCACCAGAACTCGTCAAGACGCTTCTGAATCAAGTGAGTAAGCTACAGCTGTAAAAGTAATGATAAAAGGGTAAATTTTACAGCAGCTCAAACTAGTTTTTAGCTAGTTATCTCTTCTTACGACTATAAATATTTCTTTGCCTGCCTGCCTGCTTGCCTGC